AGAAAAGTAATATTATAATTTCTAGATATCCGGTATCTGAGATACTTTATTAGATACTAGATGCCTTCTAAATATATATAATATAGCTGCCTTACTAGAGAAATATACTTGAAATATACTAGAGAAATATACTTGAAATATACTAGAGATATTTAGAAGGCTAAGCCCTTTTAGAACTAGTATACTATAAGATATATATACTTCCTTATAGCCTTCTATATTCTAGTTTTCTTTTTTTTAGCTTTAAATCGTTTTTATAAGAGATCTTTTACCTTATTTTCTAAGCCCTAAATACTATACTTATAATAATTACTAGAATTATTTTTATATAAGAATATTAGTATAAAAACTTCTAAATTATTTTTATAAAAAATATTACTATTATAAATAATAAGAATACTATTTATTAAGATTTCTTTATTAAGAACTAATATATTACTTAATATACTAGAGAAATATATATTATATTAGTCTATTAATTAGAAGCTTTATATAACTTATTAATTACTATTTAAACTATTAAATCTTTAAAAACTAATATAAAGATACTAAATAAATATATTTAATAGCTAATTAAAAATATTACTAGAAAACTAAGATTTATAAAACTAGTAAAGAAGTTCTTATATTTAATTATTTTTATAAATATTTTATTTATAAATAATAAAGATATTTTTTTCTAAATTAGATATATTCTAGTTCTAGTAAATAAAACTAGATATACTAATATTATTTATTAGTTTTCTATTAAATATAAGAGAGTTACTAGAAGTATTCTAGCTTTAGAACTTTATAGTATAGCTTATAGCTTTAATATAAATACTTTAGTTAAATCTATAATTAATAAAATACTAGAAATAAAACTATTATTAGTAATTTATATAAATTCGAAGTTATTATATAAATATCTTATTAAATTAGGAACTATTCGAGAAAAGTATCTAATAATTAATATAATATATTTTTACCAGATATATAAATAATAAAAAATTATAAAAGTTAAATAAATTAAGAAAGAATTAAATCTTACTAATTCTATAATAAAATTAAAGCTAATAAATATTCTTAAATACCTAATTAATATAAATACTATATAATTAAATATAAAGAAATAGGTTAAATATAAATAAAATAGAAAATAGATATATAAAATAAAAGAATATTATAAAAAAGGAAATTATATATAAAAGGCTATAGCCTTTAGTATATAACTAAAACCTTAAAAATAATATAGATATATAAAGTATTTAAGAAATCTAGTATTAGGCTAGATTAGGGAATTTATATATAATTAGAGAAAAGTATTATTTTTTATATTTTTAAAAAAGTTCTAGTATTAATATAATTATAATTATTAATAATTATATAATATAATTAAATAATATAAAAGTAATTAAAAGTAATAAAATATAAATAATAAATAATAATTATATAACTTTATATTATATAAGTAACTTAACTAGTAAACTAGATTTTTTTAGGCTTAGTAAATTTAGGAATTATATATTAATACTATAATATTATAATTCTTATTTTAAAATAATAACTTTACTAATTAATATAACTAATATTTCTATATTTATATAATAGTACTATATATTACTAGTAAACTAATATTTAATTAGCTAATATAATTATTTAATTAATATTATTTATATTTTATTATTTATATTTTATTTTATTTTATTTTATTTTATTTTATTTTATTTTATTTTATTTTATTTTATTTTATTTTATTTTATTTTATTTTATTTTATTTTATTTTATTTTATTTTATTTTATTTTATTTTATTTTATTTTATTTTATTTTATTTTATTTTATTTTATTTTATTTTATTTTATTTTATTTTATTTTATTTTATTATTTTCTAATTATATAATTATATAATTATTAAAATAGCTATATTATAAATTTCTTAAATTATATAATTTATAATTTTTATTTCTAAATATTAATTATTTTATTAACTTATATATTAAATATTTTATTTATATTATATATTATATTATATATTTCTAGTAAATTAATAATAATAAAGTTATATATTTAAAATATACTAGAAATATTTAAAATATTAAGTTTTTATAAACTAATATATTATAAAATATATATTTATTTATTTATAGTTTTTTTTAATAATTTATATAAAATCTATACTATAATTAATAAATAATAAAAATAATATATATTTTATTTTAATAATATTATAATTTAATAAAATTATTATAAATAATTAATTAGTAAATATAATAGTTATAGCTAAAGTTTTTTTTTTTATAAAGAATTCGCTTATATAAAAAGAAAATTATTTATTTATTATTTCTTTATCTAATAAGAAATAGTTTATACTAATAGAAAAGCCTAGCTTAAAGTAAAAAGATAATAAATAACTAATAAGTTTCTAAATAAAAATATGTCTTTTTATTCTAAACTAGACTTCTTTATTAATATAGATTATATCTTACTAGATAAAGAAATATATTTCTTTAAAAATAATTATTATTTTAAGAACTTATTTATTAATAATATTTAATAATATTAAAAAAATATATATATATAATAAAATTATAAATATAATTAAAAACAGAAATTAAATAATTATAATAATATTTCGAGTAATTTATATATATAAATATTAGAAAATTAATAATTTATTATTAGAATAACTTAAATATTTTTAAATAATTAGAAATATTATATATATATATTATTATATCTTTAATTTTCTAGATTCTTATATTTATTTTTATTATTAAAATAAAAATAAGGCTTAGAAATAAAAGCAAGATTTATTAACTTATAATAAAAGAAATTAAAATATTATTTAATTAATTTTATAATAATTACTTATAAATTTAAAAGTATTTTTATAAAAAGAAATCTTAAAAAATAGAAATTTCCGAAAGTTATTTATTTTATAATACTTTAATAAGGCTTTATTTTATATAAATACGTGTTTTTTTATTACTAGTATTTATATAATTAGAAATATATTATAAAAATAAATATTTAATAATTATTATAATTATAAAAGCTTTAAAGCAATTTTTAGTAATTTCAAATTTTAATACTTACTTTTCTTTTATATATATTTCTTATAATTATAAGATTTTTAATTTAATAATTATTTCTTTTTAAAAAAGAAAATAATTAATTAATTACTTTACTATTACTTTTTTATTAAAAAAATATATAATAAAAATTACTCGAGAAATGTAATATTTATATAATAATTAAAATATTATATATAATTATTTAAGGCCGAGCTTTAAGTACTTAGTTTTTTTTAAAACCATTTATTATAAATAGTTTTGAAAAAACTGCAATTTATATAAAAGCAAATACTAGTAATCGAATACCAGTATTTGATTGCTAGTATATACAAATTTACGAAATACTAAAATTCCTAATAATCAAAAGCTAGTGTTCGATTGCTGACCAAATGCTAGCATTCAAAAGTTGTGAAACAGGGCCTAAGCCGACACGAGACGGCAAAGCAAGCTATAGTGCGGGTCCTGCCGATACCACCAATTGGAATTCGCATATATGTAACGTTACCACGCCAGACTTCTAGTATTTGCTTACATAGTACGAAAGGGGGTCTGAAGATATCAAGGCCATCCCCCCTGTAAGGCGGTGAGTTTAGTGCTGAGTGTTTGGCTGCCAGACGAAGGGATACTACTAACCCCCCCAAAGGGTAGGTGGATTCTGGTATTTTCTTTGGACTCACCTACCCTTTAACCGGGGGGAGATAGTCGCAAATGTCTGACTCTTCTCAGCTTACTTTTATATCCCGTTAATTAGAAGCTCAAGTTGTGAAAGACAGCTTGATTGACAAGGAGGCTAGTGGGAAAGAACTGCAGCAAGGTTCCTTCCCTGGCTTATAAATAAAGGTAAGTGGATTCTAGCATTTTCTAGACCCACCTACCCTTTAAACCGGGAGAGGAATAGTAAGTTTCTAGCGTAAATACCCTGATCTAGTCAGCCGTAGTTGCTCGGTTCGCGCTTCCTGTTCCAAATAACAAACTATTTGCTTCTGTAATCGCTATTAGCTGATTTAAGCACGGGATTCTCTATATGTAACAGCACGCTAATAATGTTGTAGCATTTATATTCGGTGGGAGCGTTAGAAAGCAAGTATATTCACGTGTCTAATTATCAGCTTACACAGCGGTGACATGACCGGTAAGATGCAGTTTTCATCTTGACAGGCTGTAGCGCGGCCAGCTATCAAAGACATGTGAGCCGTATTCCCGGTGCATCATGGGACTACCCTGGCCATACGGGAGATACTCCCCCCCCCTAAATAAAACGTAGTGCGGCCAGGGTAAGATCTACATCAAAATGGTCGTGCCAGCCTTGCTACATTACGCTTTATTCAAGGGGAGGGACTACAGCCCATAAGTAACGTAACGTTACTAGCAGGGGCGCTTTTACCACTTGCTTTACTTTACCAAACTAAGTAACAAAATAAGCCAGCGGTGACATCAACTCCCCTCTTGGGCTAAGAGGTTATTGAACTTTAATATACTGTAGTTGATTAAAAGTAGGCTTGCGTGATTTGCTGATATTACAAGCGGATAAGCTAGTCTATATTCGACCTATGAACACGACTCTTTGTAAGCTATTAGCTGGGAGATTCGGAGTACTCAGTTGAACTTTTCCACACTTCTTGGAATCATCTCTTGTCTCAATTTGCAATTCTGAACTACACAGAAATGCGCAGCTCAACGGAAGAAAACCGTCTTAAGTCTGAGAACAACAGCGACCTTTCCTGGCCTCTTCTCCAAGAAACAGAGACTTCCAAGGCCACATTGAACGGGCCATGGCTATCTAATCTTGAACCACGCCTGCTCTTCATTTCAATTCTGTCTTCATGGATGATAACCATAATCGTTTGCATCTACTCAATCCATGATGTCAAGCAACTCAATATCTGCCGTCGGAGTTCTTTATATTGTTAGTAATATAGTCAGTTCGAGAAGATTGATACTGACGACTTCCAGCTCCTGCCTCAGACATAGTAGAATATGAGGATCGAATTTTTACTACCGGTTTCCATGGTGATAGAACAGTTTATCAAGGTCGACCTAACCCAGAAAACTTAGCAAGTTGGACAAGGCTTACTACAGGTCAAGTTACTCACCATCTTTTGGTTGATCTCATATTTATCACTGACAAAAATATATAGCTGGAATTGTCAAACTGGATGAGCAAGAAGCTAAACGTTTACCAAATAAGACAGCTCAGGTTAGTGGTGAACCAGGATCTTACATAGCGTCACTGGAGATGTTTCATCAACTACACTGTTTGGTACTATTAGAAACTGTCAACTAATTCAAACAAACTTGAGTCTAATTGTTGGTATTAGAACCAACTACGACTAGTTTATTTTGACGAGACCAAGGACATGTCTACTGATGACAAAATCAAAGTGGGCCTTCATATCGGTAGGTGTCTTAACAACGCCATGCCCTCTAGAGTCGAGTTCAGTTCTGATTCACTGAACCGATAACAGATCATTGTGTTGACTACCTCAGACAAGCTATCATGTGCCACGGTGACATCGAGATGATCACGTTTGATTGGGATGAAAACAAAGAATACTATCCCCCGAACTATAATGTTGTCCATCGATGCCGGAAGTTTGAACCTATTGAGCGATGGGCTCTTGATCGTCAGGTACAGGACCTAATTCCAGGCTAGAAGCATATAAAATGTCACATTCTCTATATGTAAAGTGCACAGTCTGTCTTAGACTCTGAATATAGACATGACCATACGTCGTTCATAGCTAATTTTAGACACTCTTTATTTAAGGAATCGTTGTTAGTCACGGAGATATGAGAATTCTTAACTTTTGGAAAGATCTTAGGTAATTTACGATAGTGTGATATGTTTGACGATTTAAAGATTGTGGACATATTTTTAATTTTTAAAAGAGTACCAGGTGAGAACATTCTAAGTTCAAACAGGTCAAGAGTGCTACTTCAGAGTCAAATAACGTCTATACACTGGGAGCTCCAGCTGTACTGTAAGTCAACACATCAGGATCAAACATGATTGATCAAAAACTTCATTCTAATTTTCAATTTGGGGAGCTCTTGGTTCTAATGCTGTTCTGTTAATGGATGAGAATTTCACAAAGTTGTAATCAAGTTCATGTCTTGTATCTAATTTGTATTCAGATATACAGTAGTGGAAAGAATTGCCACCGACCTCTCTGACGAGCAAACTGGGATGCAACGTAGGAAACAACGACAGCTTCCTCATTAAAGAAGTATATAACTTTCCAATTGAGACAAGTACAAGCTTCAAATAAATAGCATTTTCTTTCTCCTATCATTCCTCTCACCGTCCTTCCCGATCCAAGTGGTGTTGGCGCCACTCCTCTGCAAAGCCCACAAATGAACATCAGAGAACTTCCGGCATGTATGAGTTGAATTAAAGACTGGAAGGACACCTTGAGCTTCCTCGTCCCACAGATATGACAGGGGCGTCAAGTCGCTATGACATTGAATATCTTGTCGAATATAATCCAAGCAATGATCTTGGGGAATATTAGCTAGGCAGCGGCACGGGCTAACTTGCGAAGACTTTACCAACGTGTTCACGATCGTAAACCGCATTTATACCAGGGCCGTAATAATAATCCATATCTAGAGCCCGACGTACCAAGTCCTATTAATTGACATTAGGCCAGCAGAGAACGTAGAGTATCTATCATGATCACTTACCACACAGTGCAAGGAGTGGTATACATCGAGACTCATTCCTTTAAATAATGCTCATGAAAGGGCCGGAAATAATCTTACCTTAAACGCCACTCAGTTTTATTAGGCTCTTGTACCGTTTTACCAGCAACTGTTTTAGCTTCATTTCCTCCCAGAACAATTTCCAGACCTAAAAGTGACTTAGCAAGATATTTGAAAGCACCTCGGTTTTACCTCACTTTGCATCATGTCTGCCCACGACTGGTCAACTGCATCGCTCGGGGGTCCCACGTATTGTGGCTCCCCAGAATTAACCATTCGAAGTAGCTTCCCATTTACGACCTTGAGGGCACCCGTGAATTGAACCTTCTCTAGTTGAAATGACCCTCGAACGGGCTCTGAAAATTGTTATTTTACATCGCTTGAGTCTAATAGGTGCCCGGATCCGAGAACTACTTACCTAAGTCAGTGAGGAAGCCCGATTCATACGTGCTGCGGTGCATGGTTTTTAGCAGCAGCCTAACGTATAGGATTGAGAGTAGAATGGTAGCGCTGCACCATCCCCAAGCGGACAGCCGTTGGAACATAGACGGGGATTTTATAGGCTTTACGAAGTTGGTTTCATTGATGAGGAATTCGCTTTCCTCTTCCGGCTCACTCTTGGCTCGAAGGTAGCTTTGTGGACTCATTTTGGTAGCGAACGAGTACGCTGGCCTTTTGGAAGTGGTATAAATCTGAAGGGTAAGAAGAACTCAGAGACGATTGTGCTACCCTAAGCATGGTTAACCTCCCTTAATCACTTGTAAATGTAGGCCTAAGTGGGCATTTGGGTTACGGATTAAATTCGCTCACTTGAAGTCACAGCGGGGGATCCGAGCTCTGGGAGCTTTGCCTATGCAAACTTTATAAACAAGGCTTGTGACCATTCAGAGCACACGTCCAAGGATTGGCTTTACTGTTACAGGGAGTCAGAGGGGGAGTATCTAGTAAGCTTACCAACAGGTAACGTATCCCCTCAACCACTAGCCACTATTTCCGCTAATAGGGATCTCTTACTTCACTCCTTCGGAGGTATGGAGGCACATCCCCTCGTGCGGTGACACATTGCCAGCGGTAGCAGCCGCACGCTAATATCTCCTGTTAGGTAAGAATATAATTATCTCCTCCAAATCATCCATCCGCATGACGGGGCCGCTAGCGCTGGCAATGTCTCAACAGACGAAGGGATAGCTCATTATCTGCTTATCTGCGCTCAGCTGACGGATCGGCCAAGACTTTTTGCCGGGTCCTACGTACTTTGTGTCGACTTAAAGGAGATTTCGGCAAAACGGTTTACTGTGATTAACTCATTGTCTTGTGTAACTTTACTACTGTTTACACGCAGACACATTTTCAATATAGCCTTTCCTTTTTAGAGCTGCATGGGCTTCTATTACAGGATAATCCTCTTATTTAGACGATATTCTAGAGATTTGGCATGGCACCGTATATATCAGAAGTTATATAGTGAATTAGTTGTCAGAAAATATATCTTACAAGGGAGGTTGTCTTAACGGGGCTCCGACTGCTATGCCGTAAGTAGATGCTGTACTACGTACCAACTTTCTTTCAAATTGCTTTTTTGTGGTCTTCGTTAGAGACTTACCTTTCTCTAAACCGTCATGTTCACTTTCCAATCAATCATATTCGCCATCTTAGTCATTTCTGGTCTTATTTTTGCCTACTTTTCTACCTATCCAATGACTCATTCTATCGAGGCAACGACCTTCTTACCGTCTTTGCCAACTATTCAAACAATCAGGTTGGATGATCAACGCTTTCAGAGCTGGCATAACTCCAGTTCGTGGGATTTGCTTACTCCAAAAAATGGTGGCCTCGTGGTTGAGATCGACCTCAGCAACGGCAAATCTCACCGTAGTCAGATCTCCATGTTCCATCAGCTTCAGTGTCTACGCACAATTAGAGAGGTTTATCTCATAATATCGCAATCAACGAGTGGCAGGCACGAATTTAGGAATAACACAGGCGATGACACGCAGTACCATTTCCTTTTAGATTGCTGGGATTATTTGAGACAGGTGCGATTAACTGTTCATCAGCAATCAAGTTCAAGTATTAATATGTTAGCTTCAGGGTATCTTGTGTGCTGCCGATTCAACGCTGCAGCCCATTGACAAAACCGGTTCGACTGGTCTTGGTCTATGGCACTCCTGTAAAGATTCGTCCATTTTGTATGATTGGGTAGAGAAGTCTGAGAAAAGTTCACTCATTAGGAAATGAGCTGAAACATCAGACCCTCTTCCAAAATTTCACGGCTCTAAATACAACTTTTTGGCAATGAATTCGAGAGAAATGGAGTACAAATGCATAATGGCAACTAGAAATTAGTGGCAAATGTTACTATTGAACTCATAATATTAATTCTTCCAACCTATTTATAATAGTCTCTACGGCTCGTCGTCTCTTCCGGAATCCTCGCTGCCGCTCCCTCTGAAGCTTTCTAAAGCAACCAAATGTTCCTTTTGCATACATTTCGTATATTCGTATCGCCCCGGAGATATTTTGTTCAATAGATGCGAAAGTAATGCGAGCACCACTTGCCTATGGCGAAACGCTTCGAGACAAAGCATCACGAGTAGCAGAATAACTTGCTTCCTCAGCATGAGCTACGGCAGTGGAGGTGCGAAATACATACATATAAATAGATCAGCTATATCAACGACTTGGAACGTCACAACGGCGCTGCTATGCTCAGAAAGACCTGAGATGGTGGAATTCACGTCAGCTTCGATGACATCATGGCAACTGTTGATTGGTATTCGATGACGTCCAGATGACGAAACTACTCCAGTTCATAAGCACGCGTCTGTTATCAAAATTAAATGAATTTACTTATGCTATGGCGCCCGAGGTTGCTGGCCGCTGGAGAACATGATCGATCAGGGTTACGCTCGATGCCGCGATCACTTAAATATTGTAAGTAGACGAATCTAATCCAAAATAGGGAAAGGCCTAATATCTCACCATTCAAAATCTTCGTTGGAGCAACTACAATTAGCTAGTAGTGCAAATGGCTGAGGAATTGGAAATGGATTATAGCAATCTGCTGATGGCTTCTTGCGGAGATACTGCGTTGTACGGCCAAACATGCAGCTTCTATCAGATCTGAGGGGATCAAATGGGATCCAAGAATAAAAATCGCCATCAACATCTAATGAATCTCCGGGCAAATTGCAATTGCGTGTCAACAATGCACTGAAGTCTATCGCAATAGTGGCGAGACCGGAGTCTGATACAGACCAAACAATAAAATTTCGCGATGTCTCGTCTGAATCGGTCGATAAGTGGACAACTTTGACGGGGTTTTCTGTAAACTGATATGTTTTCCAGGACAGCCCTTCGTTGACTGAGTATTTTATATGGTTCGTTTCCTTGATGGCGCTGGATATAACTGTTAAGGAGCCTTGGACTCCATAGGCCCACATGTGCTCTCCCTCTGCGATGTGGGTCCATGTAACCCCCCCGTCACGAGTCATGAACATGTGTGCATCTTCTTTGCCCGTAAGACTCTCGCCAACATTGCCAATGGCAATAGCTATGCCCACCCCTTGCAGGGATGATATCGGAGATCGAGATCTTAAGCGTTCATTGAGTAGAGGATGGATTTGGAGCGTCTCTCTACTTTCTGATCGACCATGCAAATGGAGAGAGCAAGTACCTGTGGCTCCAGAGCACCCCAATAAAAGTCCATCAGCATCATGAGACGGCGGGGGGATCAATCTCCAGTCAGCCCCATCATTGAAAGATATCTTCGTCTTCAGCTTTTTTGGCTCCCCTCGAATAGCCGCTCGAAGATTCGAAACAATATTGATTATGATAATTCCTTCAAGGCCGTTGATCCTTTCGAAGTCTACCTCTCCAGTTTGGATTCGATTGACTCCAGGAAGAACGGATACAAACGGAGTACCTCTACCACTGTCTTTGACGAGAGTCCCATACGCAGCCCCTTTGTTATTACCAGTGCTCAAAAGAGCGAAAAGGCAATGAGTAGGGCTTGGTAGAATAGATATTCCGGTGAATCTTCGAAGTGTCGATGGAAATTCGCCCTTGTAAAAACTGAGTCCATCATCAGTGATTTGCAAATCGACTCCTTTCTCGTTGGCAATTGGCACGATGATGTATACATATTCAGAGAGCTTGACAAATTCGGGAATAACATTAGCAAACAAAATTTTCCACGTTCTGAAGAATGTATCACTAGATAGAAGCTGAAGCTGGTCATCTTCGTACCGCTCGCAGTAGATCAAATTCTCCTTGTTCCAGCTTTTATCACTATCCACAAATCGACATTTGTGAACATCGGAAAGGAGATTCTCCCAACTCGTTCCAAAATCTTTGCTGATGTACAGAGTCGTGCAGTCTATACGATTTGTGGGTTCCGGGCATTTCTGCTGGCCAAACCACAACAACCAGCTGGTGTGTGCTGGGTGGAAAGCCAGTGGTTCTAGTCCGCTGCTCGTTGGCGGGGTGGGTGGAAAGAATGTCTGAAAATTGACGGCTTGATCAGTCGAAAATTGAACTTGACCAGAGTCTGTCAGGAGGAATACAATGTTGCGTTTATATGTGTGAGGAAAGATTTCCGTGAAATTGTTGCCTTGGACAACTAGCTCGAGCCAACGATTACCCGCATCGTGAGATACATATATTTCTGGTCGATCGGTCCGCATCAGAATCGTATCCAGATACCCTCCTTGCAAATAGTAGTACTCCCTCCATTGTGTCCCTGGAAATTTGACGTGTTTGCTGATTGGGGCTCTAAGATCTGTACCGCTGCTAGGAGTCAGAACGGAATCAGGTAGCGTCTGAAATGAATAAACAGCGGTGATAGAAAGGAACGTTATGATAGGCAACCAAAAACATTGCGCCATTGTTGCATGTCAACTCCTAAAAGTCTCCAGGCATAATTTCACATGACATTGTGGTATAATATACCCTATTCCCTCGACCATCAGCTACAGTATACGCTAGTAAGGAAGCCCTTACTTCAATTGGCTTATGCTCTGCTGACGTGTGTTCATAGTCCCTTGATAAGGATCCAGCTATCGTAGGCAGTAGCTGATGGTTGAGGGATACTTGTAATAGAGTCCCACAAGTCTTCGACCGGGCACGTTCGCACCGAACCAATTGAATCGGTTCTAGAGCAATTCTAAGTCTTCTGGTTGGTTGAATAAAGCGGACCTGTACTAGCCACGGGTCGGATACTCGTGACTGTACATGATTTGTCGTAAAATTTCTTCTGACGTGAGATTTGCTAAAATGGTCAAGCGGAGTTAATTACGAAGTACAAAGAACACCGTTCCAACTTCTCCACTTATGTCTGTCCGCATCGAAGGCTTGATCGCCTCCTCCACGAATACTGGTGTTTAAATGTCTAAGCTGCAATCCAACAGTAATGCGTTCTTATATTTAAACTTGTGTTTATCTATACCGTGGATTATCCTACTACTAGCGTTCCAAAGAGCTTGGAGCGGTTCGCCATTGAACTTGCACGACGTCTCACTCAAGAATACAACCCACACTTTCCTGCTAGATCCGAAATTTCACAATTATGACACCAATTCGGCACGCTATTGGAGGGAGACAATACCGGAAAATGACGGATTCATCAAGTTTTGGAACTCAGATAGAACAAGAGTTTGGAAAGGCGTGACAATGTTCCACGAGTTGCACTGCCTTGTTGCATTGCGACTTGAGTTTCAACTGATTCTCAATGAGAAAGAGAAGATCAGTGAGCTTCTTCAAGATGGTGATAAGCCTCACATAGCACATTGTTTTGACTACTTAAGATAGGTATGTTCACAGTCTTGTCTGTATAAACTTGGATTTTTACATACTCGTGGTCTGATTAGGCGATACTTTGTGCCGGCGACTCGACAACCGAACGTGTTTCTTCAATGAACGGAATAGGAGAAGGATGGGGAGTAGATCATAACTGTAGAGATTTTACTACTCTTTATAAAATGACAGGAAACTCAAAAGTGGAATAATATTTAAACATATGGATACCACTTCGTATGTCATACCATTTCATGGTATATGAGATATAAGGGTGGCTACTTTTATATCTTCATTGTAGTTAGTACTAAATACTAGGCTGAGAGTTGAATCATGAGAGTTGAAGCCCCAGCAATCGAAAGCGTCTGTGTTCTCTATTCCTAGTTGGCTGTTGAAGCCACAATTGAATGAGACGTCTCCGTCAGAGCTTTGCATATCGGGTTTCTCGACAGAGGAATGTGGGCTTGGAAGATCTGATGTCATGCTGAAAAGGTACGACGCGAAGGGCTAGATGCCGGACTCTTTGACCACAATGACTGCGGGAGGAAGCTGTCTTCTTTTTGCTTCGTATTCCCCTGACAGGGTAGTGCTCTCCGTGATGTGGACCGTCGGCGGAAGTCCCGTAAGAAGCTACCATTCCCATGAAATCGAACGAGATTTTCGGTTTCCCTCCGCCCGTCCAACATACTTTGCAGCTCAGCTCAGCAGGTGCATCTGGCAATATGAATTTCTCAAGCCTGGGGTTAGGACAACTAATAACTGCGAGGGGAAGTGGACAGCTAATTTCACGGCATGATACTGGTCCCAGTCGCCATTGGGTGCGTATGGGGAAGCAGATCCTGACGGCAAGGTCCTTGTATCAAGATTTGTCTACATTTGTCCCATTATGATGTTATGCTACGGTATTCTCTAAGAGGTTAGGGCCATATAGAATAATGTAGAATAAACTTACATGAATATCTATTTTTACTACCACCTTCCACTATACCTAACTAAGTTACAACTTCGTGTTCACATAACGGCGCAAATTAATAAAACTTGAAAAACATAAGGTCTTGAATCATAAATTTGATTCCCCTGACAATTAAACTTTCATATACAATACATATAATAAATATGAATCACTAGGCAACATGGAAACCTAACGGGGTCGATGAGATAGAGCGAATATATTCTTTTAAAGAGAGTGAAAGTCCTAGCGAACGTTGATGAAGTTGTTCTTGAATGACAACCTGAGTCGCTGATGTACAGTATGGGAGGGAAGCTGCGACAAGACAAAAACCCATATAAAGGACACCAGAGAGCAAAACGTGACTAAACAGCAAAACAACAAGAACAGGGACATACGCAGTAAAGCGCAAACAGCGTACAATTTCAGAAAGCTCAATTGATTGATATGAAAGAAGGTTGCTTGTCTAGAACTACGGAAAAGGCTAGCTCTCTTATGTGTTTCCCCATAGTTGCATGACCACCCGCAGGTCCGTCGTCGTGTGATCCTGGCACCAAAACTGCCAAAAACAGCATCGTTTTTGTGGAGTGCGGCTTGCCGTACCACAAACAGCTCTACCCGTAAACTTCCAATCTGATATAGAAATAAGTGGCCGTCCTGAAGTAACCTTGAGACTATTGGTAACATATTAAGAAAGAAATATTATACATACAAGAGAGCTTCTTTGAAGTTTTAATCCATGACTTGTACTTAGACAGTAGCAGGCTCTGGAACGGGAGCCTCAGAGGCGCTGGTAACATCGGAATCTCCAGAAGAAGGTTGCTCACTGAAATATTTAGTTATTTTGATTTCCAGAAAACGTGCTGGTTTTGTACTCACGCTAGCAAAGTTGGAATTTTAGTATGAATAGTAATATTAGTAGAACGTTAAAAGGTGGAAAACAAGTTTGCTTACTCTAATTCTAATTATTAATATAAGTATTATATAAAGAAGAAAAACTCACTCTGTTTTATATTTCAAATATTAAGACTAGTTCTTTAATATAGCTTGTAGGTTATATAATAATACTAGAAAACATACCCTTTTTCGAAAAACACTAATGTTAGATTCATATCTAATATACCAAAAGAATGTTCCAGACAGAATTCAACTAACCAAAGTAATATCTGTAAATTACGTATAATCCCGTGCCGTTAGGGTCACGCGCTTCAACGGCTTTGCGTACAATACTATCGATAGCCTTAGGAGGAGTTGGGGCTGCCATTATCATTGGTAAGGGAATAGCTACAAGGCTGAGGAGAATGAGAACGGAAAGTTGCATGATTAATGAATATTTGGTAGAATATTGGTTTCCTTTTGTCTTTGATAAGAGAAATTTGCCAAAGGAAACTGTGGGAAATCAAGGCATTATACATATCCTTTTAACCACTAAGATGACTAACTGTAGCGAGAAGCAGGGTTTTATCACAAAACAGCTAGATATAAAATTGGCTAGTACAAGCCTCTTGATACTTTGTATTCACTTCTTGCAAGATTGCAATGCTGTCTACACCGTGTCTAGAGGAAATATTATAGCGAGACAGGGGTAAAGGCCAATAAAAAGTTGAGTTTGTTCACTCTCTGGCCTGTGTCAGCCCGGAATGCCCTGGTTTCGCTATATTATTTTTTTAAGACATTAGACACGGTGGAGTGATTATCACTGCTTCAAGCGGGCCGTCTGACTCTTGTCAGCTTATTTTTATATCCCATCAATCAGCAGCTAGCGCTACTATCTCCCTTCCCCCGGTTTAAAAGGTACGTAATTCTGGCATTTTCTATGGACCCACCTACCCTTCAAACCGGGGAGCGGGTGGAAAGGTAACGTAGCAAATGTCTGACTCTTGTCAGCTTTATCTTAGCCCCTCGTGCGCTGAGACATTGTCCGCGGTAGCGGCCGCATTATGGGGATGGCTTGATTGGAGGAGACAATTGTATTCTTGCCTAACGGGAGATATTCGCGTGCGGCCGCTACCGCTGGCAATGTCTCATCCAACGAAGGGACACAATGTATCAAACATAGTAAGTGCAGCGAGGCGAGGCTGGCACAGACCACAAAGTGAACAAAACCACCTTTGCATCCTAAAATTAATCCTTGTTTGTTGTGACTCACTTACGCTTAATATGTCTGGTACGTTGTATGACAGTCTGTCCTCGAGTCAATCTGAGAAGAACGTTCACCCAAACGTTTAATTTTCACCTCGTCCCTTTCCTCCTCTCTCTGTCTCTTTTCCTCCCCCCTCTCTCTAAATCATTGAATTGATTCGAAGATGAGTGCCTTGCTGGAGTCAACTAATTTCCCTCGGCGAAGTGGCTACTCTCGACTTGAAAACCCAAATAACGAGCGCGTGGCCAAACGAAGTGACTCGTATCAAACTCCATTGTCTATCCTTCTAGCCTTGAATATGATACTTTTAATCGGTAACGGGATTCTGTTGAGTAGACATGGAAATGTAGTTGCTGTTAAGGACTTCTTTCCAAGAAGTAAGGCTCTATTTCATCGATGTTATCTACTTCTCCGTTCTAATATGCTTTCTAGTACCAATCACAGATGTGACTTTCCAGAAGGACGATTCATTCGAACAATCACTCCCTAGACCATATCGCGGTGAAATAGATAGAGATGATAGTCCATGGTCAAAGATAATGCCGAGTAAGCCTAAATTCTGAAGAGAGATATGATAGGCAACTCTCGTTCCCTGTTTGACAATCGTTGTTTAACTTGACTAGTTGGAGGAGGATATGTGGTCGTACCAGACCCTGCGATGTGGAATCTAAGCGGCGGGATCCCATTTCCAAATAGTCCAGAAGCTGGAGCAGAAAGTTACTGTGTATCAATGTTTCATCAGCTACATTGCATTGTGAGTTTGGTCACCACTGTGAACCCTCGCTTTCTCTATAATACTAATATTATCACCGTTTCGGTACAGTCTGCTTTAAAAATTGCCCTTGCTAAAGCAACTGGCCACATGACAGGCCAGCGTGACCTTCCGAGTGAAGACGAGTACGACCATCTACTACACTGTAATGATTATTTGCGACAATCTATCATATGTGCCGGCGATACCACCTTGGAAAAAGCTAAAGTTCATAGTGAAAAGAGGCTTGGAGTTGACGGCATGGGCGTCTCTCACAGATGTCGTGACTGGAATACAATCTTCAAATTTGTTGAAGACAACTCTCCACAAAGATTTGACCCCAAGAAAATACAATAACAGGGTGGTCTTTTGATAAATTGCTTGTAATTGACATGAGACAAATCTTATAGAGTATTGGGATTGCTCTATAATAATGCCTCTGGCAGACGATGTAATTATCTCCCTTAATTTCATTCTCTTTATACCTTTCATACGCTTCCTCTTAATATAAATCACTTCACGTACTAGTACTATAACAGCTCGAAATTAACTTTATATATTATATTTTACTAGATTTAAGACTAATAATATATTAGTAATTTTTTGCTAATATTTTTAATTATTATTATTTATTTTAATAAATTCCGTTATTAAAAGAAATTAATTTAGTATTTAAAATTATTAATTCTATTATTAAAAGAAATTAACTTAATATTTTAATAACTAATTTTATTAAAAGTATATTTATTATTAGAAGAATTTTAATACTAGCTTTAAAAAAGAGAAATATAATAAAAAGGCAACTTATAATATTAAATTTTTATAGAATAAAAATCAGATATATAATAAAGCTTTATTATTAGAAAAGAAAAATCTAGTTTATTTATATATTATATAAATTTATTACTTTAATATAATTAAAATCTTTATAAGTTTAATATTTATTAATTTAAGTAACTAAAATTCTTTAATTATATATTTATTTCTTTAAATTTTAGAAAAGAAATAAATTAATACTTTATTTAATTTTCTTAGGTTTCTTTTTATAATACTTAATTTTTAAATTTTTTATATTAGTTCTTTTAATAATATTTTATTTATATTTAAATTTCTCGATTTTAGAAATTATTTTAAGCTTTTTAATTTTAGGAATTATTTTTTAATTTTTAATTTTTAATTTTATTTTATAATACTTGTATTTTTTTAGTTTACTTTTACTTTTATTAAAATTTATAGCTTTATATTTAGCTTTAAACTTGGCTCTAAATTTAATTAAAATAATAAGCTTAAGACTATTAAAATAAAATAAAATAGTATTATAATATAAAAGTTAGCTAAAAATTACTAAAAATATTAAAATTTAAAAAACAAAAGAAAAAACTTATATTAATAATATAAATAGCCTAGCTTATAGCTAATGAAATTCAGTTTTATAAGTTTAATTATTTTAATATTTATATTAAAGAAAATAAAATTAGTTTTTATATTATAAAATATAAAAAGCAAATATATTAAAATTATATTAAAAAAATTAAAAATAATAATATAAATTTATAATATTTGAATTATAAATATAAAAAGAATTTTAAAAAAATTAAAAAATAAAAGTATTTATTTATATTATTAATAATTATTTATTATTTTAATAATTAATAATTATATAAATTAATAAGCTTATAAAAAGCCTTTTTATAAAATTATTATTAATAAGCTATTTGTTACGGGTACGGTATTCAGGGCTTGGAAAGCAAGGTAAAAGGTTCTTTATAAAGACGATTCAAAGCTAAGGAAGGGAAAACTAGAATACAGGAGGCTGCGAGGGAATATATGCACCCTATAGTATACTAGTCCCGAAGGAGCTAGCCTTCTAAATATCTCTAGTATATTCCAAGCATATTTCCCTAGTAAGGCGGCCGTATTACATATACCTAGGAGGCATCTGGCAAGGCATCTCAGATACCGGGTATCTGGGAATTATAATATTACTTCCCCCTTTATAATAAGCTCATCCCCGAGCTTCATATAAGCCATTAATCTATCTAATTTCGTACTATACTCCTTCCCAAAATAAAACTAGTATCTCGGATATAGATATTACATATAAAAGGCCGGCGCCTTTACTATATAACCTAAGAGAATTTATTATTATTTCTATATAGTTCTAGACAAATATCGTTTTTTGTATAATCTAGCTAGTATTACAGGTTTTATAGAGGTCCTGGTATATTAATATTATTATTATAGAAACTCTATAAAACCAGGGGGCTATTACTTAGTACTAAAGCTAGATACTATATTAGATCTTTATTCTAACTAATCTACTAAATTCTATACTTTAGCCTATTTCTTACTAGCTTAACTATAATAATTCATTTAATGCCGTACTTTTATTTGCTATTCTCTAGTATTAATAAGAGCGGTTCCGGGTTTACTTAACCTAATAAAGAATTCTAGAAGTCTTTTTATAGCTTCTCTATATAGAAAACTAGATATATCTTTATGGTTTCCGGTAGTTTTAGGAGAAATAAGTAGCTATACTATTCTAGAATCTCAAATAGGCCCTCTATTTAGTTCCCTAGCTTCCGGCTTAAATAATCGGATTTCTAGTACTTTATAGTAACCTATACTTTATTTTCTACTTCGAAATTAATTAAATAGTAGTATTTATTAGCTTATATTATATATTATTCCTATATTTACTTTATATAGCCTTAGGCAAATTACTATAATTTATATAATTAATTTACTAATACTTTAGCTTTATTCCTATTTAGCTTCTCTTTAAGTAAGTTAGCTTTAATAAGGAAGTTCTAGTCTAAAGAAATATAAGGCTCATAGCCCTTTTTAGTTATAAATAGGAACTAGCTAATAGTTTTATACTAAAGGAAGGCTTATTAATAATTAATTATAGTAACTTATTTGTCCTAGTTATTCTAGTAATAGTTAATATATAGATATAATTTCTAATTAAAGTACTAATTAATAATCTTTATTTATTTGTCTATTTAGAAATAATTAGCTATAAAGAGCTTAAGCTTTATACTAATTCTTATATAGAATTCGCTTTAAAAATCGAATATAAATTAGGGTTCCTAATCTAATATAATTATTTCTGGAATACTTATTTAATATATTATATAAAATAAAAATAGAAGTACTAGTTATTTAGCTATAATTATATCTTATATAGGAATTATAATTAGGTATTTAAATAAGTAATTCACGAATATAATAACTATACTATAGCCTAATTTGTTTTCTGGATAGCTTTTAAAGTCTATAGTAATATATTATTAGAGGTAATTAGAAACTAGAAAGAAATAAAGTAAATTAGGCTTTTTATCTCTAAATATATATAATTTCCTATAAGTATAATAATTACTATAGTATTAATTAATATCTTTACCTATAAATAGCTAGTAATATTACTTCTTTAATAACTAATAAAGCTTTATATATTTAGAATATCTAGAAAGGAATTTATTATATACTTTATAAATTAGTATTATAAGTATAAGATCTAGGGCCTAGAAAGTATAGTTAGACTATTTCTATTTCAATAATTTAAAGCTAAAAAGAGAAGAGGATCTCAAAGAAGCCTCGAATCTAGATAATTATAAGCTATATATGGGCCTATATACTAGCTTAAACTCGGGGTTACGTGTATTAATTAGGTAACTATAAATATCTTACTTAGATACCAGATGCCTCTCTAGCTCTAATCTAATCCTTACTAGTACTATATATTATAATAATTATAATATTACTTCTTTTCTCGAAATAAGCTCGTTTCTAAACTTTAAAAGTCCTTATTAAATTTCCAAGTTATAGGTTATATATTAAAGGCCAGGGCCTTTTATATATAACTTTAAAGAATTTCTGTCTATATTATATAATTCCGGTAATATATTATTTTTAATATAATCTAACTAATAAAAGAGATTCTGGGGCAGTCCTAGCTATTCGGGGTTCTTATTATAGAAGCTCTAAAGAGTTAGGGTACTATTACTTAATAAGGAAACAGGATATTATTCCGGATCTGGGTTCTATTCTTTTTACTAAACTTAGTACTTTAGCTTCTTATAAAGCAGTTTTACTACTTATATCTCTTAAACTTTATATTCTATTTTCCTATTTTATAATTCTAATAATAGAGGCTCCGGATTTACTTATTCGGAAAGGGAATTACCTAAATCTTTATATAGCTTTTCTATATAAAATACCGGATATATTCTTATTAATTTCAGAAACTTAAGCCTAAAGAAATATTCTACTTATTTTAGAATTTCATATAGTTCTTCTATTTAGTAAGCTAGCTTATAGCTCGGATAATTATTTTTCTAGTATTTAATAATAATCTATATTTTATTTCTTATTCTAAAGTCTACTAGTTAGTAGTATTTATTAGCTTAAATAATATAATATTCTTATATTTATATTATATTTTCCTATATCCTTTATTATAATTCATAAAGCCATATTACTAGAGCCTTTATTTCTTATTTATTTAATTTTTTTTTGGGATATCTAATTATATTTGGGTTTTCTAATTAAATAATATCTATAGTTTATAGCCCTTTTCTATAAGAAATAAGAATTGGCTTATAATCTTATAAACTAGAGCTATTTACTAGTAATTAATTATTATTATCTATTTATTCTAATTATTCTAATAGTAATTTATATAAGAATATAGCTATTAGTTAAAATACTAGTTAATAATCTCTATTTAGCTATTAGTTTAGGAATAATTAGTAATTAATAACTTGAGCTTTATACTAATATATTTATAGAACTCGCTTTAGAAATCCGATATAAATTAGGGGCCTTAATTAGATACTATAGTTTCCGGGATACTAACTTAGTAAACTATATAAATAAGAAATAGAAATATTAACTTTTTAGCTATTATTATATTTTAAATAAGAATTATAATAGGATACTTATCTAGATAATTAATAAAGATTACTATTATATTATATTTATTTTTATTTTCTAAATATTTCTTGAAATCTATTAATATATATTACTAGAAGTAGTTAGGAACTAGTAATAGATATAAGAGCTTTAACTTTTTATTTCTAAAGATATAGGATTATTAGTAGATATAGTAGTTATTCTTATACTAATTAATATCTATACTTTGGCCTAGCTAGTAATAATAGGCCTAAAGAAGCTATTAAAGCTTGGCTTATCCTAGATATCCTATTAGGGGCTATATATATATCTCCTAAATAAAAGTAATATATAAGGATATCTCGGATATTATTATATTATTAAATATAAATAGTTTACTATATTATAAAAAAAGACTATTTTATAGTATCTAAGTATCTTTCTTCTCGTTTCTTGCCTTATTTTATAGCTTTTATAGCTCTAGTAACTCCCGGTTCTTATTTAATAGCTTATTTACTAGCTAAATACTATTATACTAGATTTCTTTCTAAGCTAGACTTACTAAGGCCTTAATTAGGGCTAACTAGAAATCCCGTATAATATTACTATTAATCTTTTATTATAAGAGAAGAATTTAAATCCAATAGGCTACTATTACCTTATTCTAAATAATTATATTCTTATATTTCCTACTTAGAATATTTACTTATTTATTTAACTTATTTACCTAATATATAAGCTTAAAATAGTAATAGAAAAGATATTTTACCTAGTAAGCTTATTTTACTAAAAGCTTCTTTATAATTATAAAATACTTGAAAGCTTAGTAATCTAAATAAATTATAAAAAGTATTTCTTATAGGCCTTCTAGTTCCGCTTGCTATTTAGTTAAGAAAAGAATAATAGCAAGTATCTTTTTATTATAAATATTATAGTTTAGCTTTACTAATTATATAGTTTTAAAGAAAAATATTACTAGATACTAGAATTCTATCTAGGGATTTTATTATTAAAGAATACTAGCTATAACTTTATTTAATATATTCGTCTTAATTATAATAAAAAGATTTGAATTATAGTAATATAAAATTAGTACTAAAAGTATAGCTTGTTTTAGCTTAGTAAAACCTTTTTAATACTAATCTATTTACTTAAACGGAATTCCCTTATATATTAGAGCTATTAGAGGCTTTACTATATAACTATATTTTATAATAAAATACTAATAGAAGTTATAAAAACCCAGAAAGCCTTATATTTCTTTAATTATTTTTAGTAATTACTAGTTTTTAATAATTACTATCTTATATAAATCTATTTTAATATCTCTAATAAAGATAATAAAGCCTAAATACTTTATATAAATAATCTTAATCTTTGATTTCTTAATATCTATTTAGAGGCTAGTATCTTATAATTACTAAAGAATCTTTTATATATAGTTTTTATATTCTAGGGAATTATTCGAGTAAATTAGGATATTATTTAAATAAGCTATATAAAAGATATTAAGGTAATTAAAGAAAATATTATTTATATATTTCTAATATATAATAGGGCTATTAGTTAGGCCTTTCTAAAGAACTTTATATTTATAGGCCCTATATCTTATATAAAATATTATAAATTCTTCTAATTCTAGGTTTATTTAGATCTAATAAAATACTTACTAAATATCTAGCTTTATATAGACCTTGGCTTAAGCTAGCTATATAAGAGTCTTATAAATAAGGGAAAGAAAATAATAGTTCTTTTATATTAAGTTATTTAGCTTATAATAGTTAATATAGAATTAGAGAGCTCTATTAGCCTTTTTTATAAAGAGAATTAGGGATATAAAAGAAAACTAGCTTGGCTTAATAAAGCCTTATTAGAGGTTCTTTTTAAAGAAATACTTAATCTCTTATAATTTATAAGTTAATTATTAATAAAGAAGGAAATATTCTAGGCTCTCTGGGCCTTTGGGATTATTAATCTAAATCTTATAGTTATATAATTAATATAGGAATAAAATATTTAATACTTTCTTTAAGAAAACATTTATAAAATCCTTGAATTTCTCTAATAAGACTTTTACTAGCTATTATTTACCTAAAATAAACTTGTTTTCTTATTATAATTCTAGTTTTTTATTAATCTCGAAAAATAATATTATAAAAAAAAGGTTCTTTTTTTTCTATAGATTTATTTAGAAAGTAGCTAGTAAGATATCTATAATATTAATTATAGGCCCCGACTAGCTCTTATAGCTTTTCTTTAAATAATATAGTTTTAATATTTTTATTTCTAACTTAGAAGAAATCTTTATATTTCCTAAGGCTATCTGTATTTCTTTATAATATTAAGCTTAATTCTTTTATTATATATGGTTTTCTAAATCCGGGTTAGGAAAAAAAGAAAAGAGTTTTCTTTTTATAAGCTAAGGTTTCTAGAACTTATTTATAGCTATAGTTTTATTTTTTCTATTTATATTTTCTTAGTACTAGTTACTTTTTCTAGGTTTTGAGTTCTTATATATAATAGTTAGAACCTTATTCTAATTCTTTTTTCTAGACTAATTATCTGGCTAGATTAATCTTTTATTCTTATAATTAATTAGAATACTAGTATTTATAAATTACTATTATTTTAAAATTATATTATATTTTTCTAGTTTTATAACTAGTATAAGTACTAGAATCTTTTATTTATTAATTAAGAATATAAGCTTAATATAATAAGTAATAAGTATAGCCTATTTATTATTAAATTCTTTTATATTATAGAATAATACTAATTAAATAAGCTTAATATCTAGAAATTATTTAATTATTTTTATAAACTTGAAATTAATAAAAATATATCTATTTACTTTAATATTAATAAAAGAAGAAATCTTAATACCTAATTTATTATTACTAATTATATAAGAAAGTATAAAATATTTTATTTTCTAGTAATTAGCTCAAATTAATTTCTATTATATTTATATAATATAGCCCTAAAAAAAAGACTTCTTTTAGGGATTCTTGTTTTCTTATTCTATATTCTTAGATAGTTTACTTATAATAAGTACTACTAGCTTAGTTACTAAGACTTGCTTTATATACTTAGTTTTAGGTTCTAGATAATTTCTAGATATATAACTAAATTTATTATAATTATAGTACTTGAGATCTAAGAATCCGGGCTTCGAAATAATAGGCTTATTTATTATTAGGATTTTAAAAGCAGGCTTTATATAAAGAATATCTCCTAAACTTGGCTTATTTATATTTTTATTAGCTTTTTTAGATATCTGGTTTTTCTTTTTATAATAAGCTCAGATTTACTAGTTATTTATAATATAGTATTATATAAATTTTATAATATAAATAGCCGGGTTATTATAGTATATAGCTATAGCCTCTTAAAGCTTTTAGGTAAGCTTATTATTTAGGTTACTCTTAAGGTCCTATAAATTAATATTTTTATTTATTATATATCTTAGAAATAGAATATAAAATTCCTAAAAAATCTGGCCCTTTTTTATAAATAGCTTCTTAAAGGCTTACTAAATATTATATTTCTTATTCAAATTACTATATAACTTCTCTAGATAAGTATATAGTTCTTTAATAGTTTCATATATATATTAATTATCCTGGTTTAGGTAAGAAGAAATTAGTATAAAAATATAGCTATTTATATAGCCGGAAATATAAATAATCTTAAAATTCTTTATCTAGTAAATATTAGAATTATTATAAAACTTGTTCTTAATCTAAACTAATTAATTATTAAAAATAATACTATTTTTAATTATATTTTTAAAAATAGAAAGATTAGAAAGTTTAACTAAATATTTATTTTCTAGAATAAGAAAACTAGTTATTTCTATAAGCTATATAATAAGCTTCTTAATAATAGATTTATTTTTTTATAAGACTTGCTTAGTTTCTTTTAGCTAATTATAAAAATTCTTATTATAAGTAAGAATATTATATATTTTTAGAATTAGCTTAATAATTTCCTTATATAAAGCCTCTAGACTTCGGATTAATTCTTGAAAGTTTGCCTTTAATAAAATAAGTTCTTTTTTTTTCTTGGCTTTCTAAAAGAAAGTATTTCTTTTATTATAAATATTAATAGAATATTTGAATTCTTTAAGAGACTTAATAAGATTATTAGCCTATTTACTTACCTAGCTAGTCTAGAGCTTTCTTATCTAATTATTCTAGGGCTTTCTTTTATTCTAATATTAGTTAACTAGTATAGGAATAGCTATAGTATATTATATTTATACTTATTAAAAACTAATTAGGTAAGTATTATTTAAATTCTTTATAGAATTAAGAAATAAGTAAGCTTTAAATTATATTATAAGTATAAGATCTAGGGCCTAGAAAATATAATTAGATTATTTCTATTTTAATAATTTAAAGCTAAAGAAAAAAGAAAATCTTAAAAGAGCCTCGGATCTAAATAATTATAAGCTATATACGGGCTTATATACTAGCTTAAGCTCGGGATTATATATATTAATTAGGTAATTATAAATGCTTTATTTAGATACTAGATACTTTTCTAGCTCTAGTCTAATTTCTACTAGTATTATATATTATAATAATTATAATAATTAAAGTAGTTTATAAAAGTAATCCGGAAATTATTTTATTTTCTATAATATAAAGTTTTCTATAATATAAAAAAAGGCTATTTTATAATATCTAGATATTACTTTTAGCTTAAGCTATTATATATAGCTTTTCTAAATTTAGTAATATATAATTATTTTATAGGATCTTATTTATAAGTTATAAACTACTATATTTAATAGGAGCCTCTAATAGTACTTTTATAAGGGCTATTATAGTAAAGTTTACTAGTAAAGCTTCTAAGAAAATACTTTTTTCTAAGGAAATTATATCTTTAATAGAAATATTTTCTTTTAGAAAATCTTTAATATATACTTGGTTTTTGGGACCGAATTTCGAATTAAGTAAGCTAATCTTATAAAGTATTACTATAAGCTATAAGTTATAAATAATCTCCGGATTAATTTTATTTTTAGGAAAAAGTAGTTGAGTTTATAGCTTTTTTTTAATCTGGCCCTAAATATTTACTTTATTTTATTTTTATAATAAAGTATTTATTTACTTATTTAATTTTATAGAATAATATATAAGCTTAAAATAATAGTAAAATAAGAGCTTAGCCTATTTAGCTTATTAAGAAAAGAGCTTCTTAGTAATTATAAAATACTTTAAGATATAGTAATTAGAATAGATCTTAAAGAAAGTATTCTAAAGGCCTTTTAGCTTAGCTTTCTATTTTTCTAGTATTTAAACTATAATAAGTATTTCTTATTATATATATTATAATTAAACTTTACTAGAAATATAATTTTAGAAAAATAAGCTATAAGATACTAAAGACCTATTTCTAGGTTTTATTAAGAAAGTAGGCTAGTAATTACTTTTTTAAATATATTTATTTTTACTATTATAAATAAATCTAGATTATAATATTATAAAACTAGAATAGAAATTATAGCTTTTTTTAAATAAATAAAAGCCTTTTAGTATTATTCGAATTATTTAAAGGAAATACTTTTTTTTATAAATAAGATAAGAAATTTAGTAATTTGCCTATATTTTCTAATAAAGTATTTATAAAAGTTATAGAAGCCAAGAAAGAACTATATATTCTTAACTATTTTTAGGAGTTACTAGTTATATATTACTTTAATTTTATTAAAATTTACTTTAATATTAGATATAGAAATAATAAAGCCCAAATACTTTATATATATAATTTTAAATTCCGATTTCTTAATATTTATTTAGAGGCTAGTAAGATATAAGTAATCTAGTATTTTTTATATATATTTTTTATATTTTATTAGGTTCTCTAAATAAATAAGAATATTATTAAGATATATTATATAAAAGTTATCTAGATATTTAAAGAATATATTATTTATATAGTATTAATATATAGCTAGGCTATTTATAAGGCCTTTCTAGAGAATATTATATTTATATATTTTATAGCAGGTATAGAATATTATTAGCTCTTAAAAGTCCGAGTTTATAGCTATATAATAAAAAGCTTAGTAAATATCTAATTTAGTATAAATCTTAGCCTTAAATAATTAACTTAAAGTCTTATTAATAAGAAAAAAAAAATATTAATTTTTTCGGGTAATATTATTTAGATAATAGAAATTAATATAGAAATATAAATTTCTATTTATTTTCTTTATAAAAAGAACTAGTAAAATAAAAGAAGTCTAATTAGCTTTAATAAAGCTTTTAGCTAGATTATTTTTTAAGAAATACTTGATTTCTAGAAGCTCTTAAATAAACTATTACTAGAGGAATTAATATCTAATATTCTTAGTTCTTTTTAGGCCTTTAATCTAAATCTTATAATTATATAGTTTATAGGGAAAAAAATTATTAGATTTCTTTTTAGAAAAAATAGAAATATATTTCTTAAGTTCCGGAAATAATATTCTTTATAGTTACTAAAGCTTTATTTCTCCCGGTTATTAATTTTTTAGACCAGGAATAGCTTTTTTTCCCCGAGCTTTAAGCTTCTTATTAATCTTATAAATAAAGATTTAATTAATAATATTATTTTTTCTTTTAGCTATATAATTAAATATTATAGAAATAAGAATAGCTAGATCTAATATTTACTTTTTATTAAGAATCTCTTCCTATTTCTTTAGCTTTTGCTTAGGTATTATATCTTAATTAGACTATAGAAGTTTCTTTTCTATAATCTTATATAATTTCCTCTAATTAGTCTAAAAAAAAGAAGATTATTTTAGAATAAAAGATTTCTAGAAATAGCTTATAATAGAATCTTATTAATTAGTATTCTTTTAATACTTTTTATTAGGTTATTTCTTTAGCTATTATTATAAAGTACTAATAATATAACTAAATTATATAGATTTAGGCTTATTCTTTAGCTATATAAGCCTATATTTTCTATAATTAATTAGAATATTAATATATATTATTTATTTCTTATTAAAAATAATATTATAATTTTTAAGGTTTAGAATAATTATAGGTATATTAATACTTTATTTATTAATTAAAAATAAGACTTCTATATATTTTTTAATAAACTTAGCTAGCTTTCTATTAAAACCATATATAGTATAAAATAAAAAAAGAAGTTATAGTTCTATTTCTAAAAATTATTTTATAAACTAAATAAGCTTTATATTAATAAAAGTATAATTATTAATTCTAGTATTAATAAGAAAAAAAGACTTAATTCCTAATTTATTTATACTAATAATATAAGATATTATAAGAATATATTTTCTTATTAGATAAGTTAAGTTAATCTTTATTAAATTTATATTATAAGCCTCTAAAATAAAGACTTTCTTTAGAAATACTTATTTCCTGGTTTTATACTAGAATTAGAGCTCAAATTCTCTAAATACTTTACTAAAATAATATATTCTAGTAAAATAAGAACTAAGTCTAGTTTAATTCTAGAAAAAGCTATCTTAATTTCCTTATTATATAGAACCGAATAATATCTAATATAATAACTAAATTTATTATAGTTATAATATTTAATAATTAAGAGATTCTTAGTTTTTATAAAATATTATTTATATTTATAAGAGAATATATATTTAATAAAAGTAATTAATATAGGCTTTTTAGGCTTTTTCTTAGGAATATATTTCTTAGAAATATATAAGAATATAGTACTAGAAGTAAACTTAGCTAGAATAGTTTCTATTTTTTTATATTTCTTAGTTTTTTTATATATAGTTTTAATTTATTAATTATTAATAATATAATACTAAATAAAGTAAATAATATTAATAGAAAAATTATTATAATATATATATACTAATTTCTAAAGCTTTAGTAAAAGCTTCTTATTTAATTTATACTTAATATTTTAAAAACTAATATTATTTTTTATAAATAATTATAAGAAGAAAATATAGAATTCCTAAAATATTTAACTAGAATATATTTAAAGCTTACTAAAATTATAATAAGTATTTTATATCTTATTAGAATTAAAATATAGTTTCTTTAGATAAGAATAAAGTTCTAAAAACTAATAATACTAATTTAGATTATTTTTATTTATATAAGAATTAGTTAGAATAAGAATATTATTAGTAAATTTACTAGAAATATAAATAATCTTAAGATTTTCTAAAAAATATAAATTAGTATTTTCTTATAACTTATTTTTAATTTAAACTAGCTAGTTATTAAAGATAATATAATTTCTAGTAAAGAGAATTAGATCTAGAAGCTTAATAACTTTAGTATTTTTAAAAGAAATATAAGATATAAGAAATCCTAAACAAAAATAAGTAAGAAATAGTTCGGAATTCTTTTAAAAGAAGTTTAAAATAGCTAGAATAAGTAAAATAAAAATAGTTAAAGCTATTATAAGCTAATATATTATAGCTATATAATACTTAATATTATTCTTAAGCTTAGTATTATAAAGCTTAGTATTCTCGAAAATAGCTTTATTATAGTTATAAGTATTCTTATATAAAATAATTCTTTAGATATTTTTTTAATAATTTTTTATAATAATATTAATATCTAAAAGTAAAATATTAGATTTCTTAGCTTATTTATATAACTTTTTAGTAATAATATAATCTTTAATTTCTAGAAGCTTTATAATAAAAATAAAAAGTTCTATTTTTATAAACTTATTTATAAATTCTCTAGAAATACTAATAGGATACTTAGTTCAAAAAGAGCTACTAATAGAATAACCTAAACTAGTAAGAGCTTTATTAGAAGCCTTAATAAAAATTAATATAATTCCTAATTATATAATATCCTAGAAAATTAATTTATTATATTTTTTTTTTATTATATTCTTTCTAGTAATCTTATTACTAGTATATATATAGGGCTTATAAGGTTATAGAATAGGGCTTAAGAGTAATAGTTAGATTACTAGCCTATAAGTACTTATTATTTTAGGATTTAATTAAAAAGTAGCCTTTATTTAAGGTTTTTTAATTTTTGGGTTTTTAAAAAAGTTTTTAATATATTACTAGTATATATTTATAAAGATATAAATACCTGATTTCTCTAAGAATTCTAAAGCTTTTTACTTTTATTATTCTAAAGTCTATTACTTATATTTCTAAGATTTTATTATTTTAATAATACTTATATTACTAATAGTTCTAAATTAGTTTATTTAAAATTCTTTATAAAATTAAAGGAAATAAGCTTTAAATATTATTATAAATATAATATTTAGGACTTGGAAAATAAGGTAAAAGGTTTCTTATAAAGATAATTTAAAGCTAAGAAAAAGAAAACTAGAATATAAAAGGCTATAAGGAAATATATATACCCTATAATATACTAGTCCCAAAGGAACTAGCTTTCTAAATATCTCTAGTATATTTTAAGTATATTTCTCTAGTAAGGTAGCCATATTATATATATTTAAAAGATATTTAGTAAAATATCTTAGATATTAGATATCTAGGAATTATAATACTATTATTTCGAGAATTATATATATAATTATAGAACTAGAAGGTAATAAAATATAAAATATAAAATATAATTAAATAATCTCACGTTTTATAAATTAATTAATAACTAGTTTTTATTAGACTTAATAAATTTAGGAATTATATATTTATATTATAATATTATAATTTTTATTTCTAAATATTAATTATTTTACTAATTTTATATAATAGTATTATATATTATTAATATACTAATATTAATTAATTTATATATATAAATTAAAGAAAGTTTTAAATTAGTTTTAAAAGTATTTAATAATCTAAAATAAATATAATTTATTTTATATTAAAGAAAAAAACTATTTTTTAATTTTATAAAAAAAATTAATAATTTATAAAAAATAATATTTAGCTTTTATTAATTAATATTAGTTTTCTAATAATATATAATACTATTATATAATATAAATATATTAAAGTTAGTAAAATAATTAATATCTAGAAATAAGAATTATAATATTATAATATTAATATATAATTTCTAAATTTACTAAATCTAATAAAACCTAGTTTACTAGTTAAATTATTTATAAAATATAAGATTATATAATTATATTTCGTATTTTATATTTTATTACTTATATTTTATTATTTATATTTTATATTTCGAGTTCTATAATTATATATATAACTTTTAAAGAAATAGCTATACTAATTCTAGAATTTCTTTAAAAATATAAAAAATAATATTTTCTTTTAATTATATACTAATTTTTTAATTTGGTCTAGTATTAGAATTCTTAAATATTCTATATATTTATATTATTTTTAAGGTTTTAGTTATATATTAAAAGCTATAGCCTTTTATATATAACTTTTTTTTTTATATATTTACTTTATATTTTATTTATATTTTATTTATATTTTATTTATATTTTATTTATATTTTATTTATATTTTATTTATATTTTATTTATTTATTTATATCTAATTATATTATATTTATATTAATTAGATATTTAAAGAAATTTAATAGCTTTAATTTTATTATAGAATTAGTAAAATTTAATTCTTTTTTAATTTATTTAATTTCTATAATTTCCTATTATTTATATATTTAATAGAAATATATTATATTAATTATTAGATATTTCTTTTAAATAATATCTAATTTAATAAGATATTTATATTATAATTTCGAATTTATATAAATTATTAATAATAATTCTATTTCTAGTATTTTATTAATTGTAAATTTAACTAAAGTACTTATATTAAACTTATAAACTATATTATAAAGTTTTAAAACTAGAATACTTCTAGTAATTCTTTTATATTTAATAGAAAACTAATTAATAATATTAATATATCTAGTTTTATTTATTAGATTTAAAATATATTTAATTTAGAAAAAAAAATCTCTATTATTTATAAAAATAACTAAATATAAGAATTCTTTTACTAGTTTTATAAATCTTAGTTTTCTTATAATACTTTTAATTTATTATTAAATATATTTATTAAATACTTTTATATTAATTTCTGAGAATTTAATAATTTAAATAATAATTAATAAATTATATTAAACTTCTAGTTAATAAACTAATATAATATATATTTTTCTAATATATTAAATAATATATTAGTTCTTAATAAAAAGATTTTAATAAATAATAATTCTATTATTTATAATAATAGTATTTTTTATAGAAATAATTTAGTGATTTTTATATTAGTATTTTTATATAAAAGTAATTCTAGTAATATTTATATAAATAATATTTCTATTAAATTTGAGATTATAATTAAAAATAAGATATTTATATTTTTTAATTAAGAATTTAGTTTTTTAAAGCTTTAATTACTTTATTTTTATTAAATTATTAGTTTTAATAAATAGAATATTATTAGTTTAAAAGTTAATAATTTTAAAAAATTATTTATTATAAAAAAGATAAAAATTATAAATTAACTATTTTATAAAAAGCTTATTAATATAATAGAAATAATAAATCTTAAACTAGTAATTTCTAGTTTCTAATATACTATATAATAGTATTATAATCTTTATTATAAATATAAGATCTAGAGTCTAGAGTCTAGAAAATATAATTAAACTATTTCTATTCTAATAATTTAAAGCTAAAGAAAGAAAAGAATTTTAAAAGAGCCTTGGATCTAAATAATTATAAGCTATATATGGGCCTATATACTAGCTTAAGCTCGGGGTTATATATAATAATTAGGTAATTATAGATATTTTATTTAGATACTAGATATTTCTTTTAAATACTAGATATCTTTTTAAGATATTAGATATCTTTCTAGCTCTAGTCTAATTCCTACTAATACTATATATTATAATAATTATAATATTATTTCTTTTTTTAAAATAAGCTCGTTTCTAAGCTTTAAAAGTCCCTATTAAATTTCTAAGTTATAGGTTATATATTAAAAGCCAAGGCCTTTTATATATAATTTTAAAGAATTTCTATTTATATTATATAATTCTAGTAATATATTATTCTTAGTATAGTTTAACTAATAAGAGAGATTTTAAAATAGTTCTAGCTATTTGGGATTCTTATTATAAAAGTTCTAAAAAGCTAAAATACTATTATTTAATAAGAAAATAGGATATTATTCCGGATTTAGGTCTTATTCTTTTTACTAAATTTAGTATTTTAACTTTCTATAAAGTAGTTTTATTACTTATATCTTTTAAACTTTATATTTTATTTCCTTATTTTATAATTCTAATAATAAAGGCTCCGGATTTACTTATTTAGAAAAAGAATTACCTGGATTTTTATATAGTTTCTTTATATAAAATACTAGATATATTCTTATTAATTCCAGAAGCTTAAGCCTAAAGAAATATCTTACTTATTTTAGGATTTTATATAGTTTTTCTATTTAGTAAGCTAGCTTATAACTTAAATAATTATTTTTCTAGTATTTAATAATAATTTATATCCTATTTCTTATTCTAAAGTCTACTAGTTAGTAGTACTTATTAGTTTAAATAATATAATATTCTTATACTTATATTATATTTTCCTATATTTTTTACTATAATTTATAAAGCTATATTATTAGGGCCTTTATTTCTTATTTATTTAGCTTCTTTTTCGGGATATCTAATTATATTTGGGTTTTCTAGTTAAATAATATTTGTAGTTTATAGTCTTTTTCTATAAGAAACGGGAATTAGCTTATAGTTTTATAAACTAAAGCTATTTATTAGTAATTAATTATTATTACTTATTTGTCCTAATTATTCTAGTAATAATTTATATAGGAATATAGCTATTAGTTAAAATACTAGTTAATAATCTTTATCTAGCTATTAGTTTAGGAATAATTAGTAATTAATAACTTAAGCTTTATACTAATATATTTATAGAACTTGCTTTAGAAATCTAATATGAATTAGGGGCCTTAATTAGATATTATAGTTTCCGGGATACTAATTTAGTAAACTATATAAATAAGAAATAGAAATATTAATTTTTTAGTTATTATTATATTTTGAATAAGAATTATAATAGGATACTTATTTAGATAATTAATAAAGATTACTATTATATTATATTTATTTTTATTTTCTAAATATTTCTTGAAATCTATTAATATATATTACTAGAAGTAGTTAGGAACTAGTAATAGATATAAGAGCTTTAATTTTTTATTTCTAAAGATATAGGATTATTAGTAGATATAGTAGTTATTCTTATATTAATTAATATTTATACTTTGGCCTAGCTAGTAATAATAGGCCTAAAGAAGCTATTAAAGCTTGGCTTATTCTAGGTATCCTATTAGAGGCTATATATATATCTTCTAAATAAAAGTAATATATAAGGATATCTCGAATATTATTATATTATTAGATATAAATAATTTATTATATTATAAAAGAAAGCTATTTTATAATATTTAAATATTTTCTTTCTTATTTCTTATTTTATCTTATAATTCTTCTAGCTTTAATAACTTTTAGTTCTTATTTAATAGCTTATTTACTAGCTAGATATTATTATACTAGGTTTTTTCCTAAATTAGATTTATAAAGGCCTTAATTAAAACTAACTAGAAATCCTATATAATATTATTATTAATTTTTTATTATAAGAGGAAAATTTAGGTCTAGTAAACTATTATTATTTTATTCTAAGTAATTATATTCTTATATTTCCTATTTAGGGTATTTGCTTATTTATTTAACTTACTTACCTAATATATAAACTTAAAATAATAATAGGAAAAATACTTTATCTAGTAAACTTATTTTATTAAAAGCTTTTTTATAATTATAAAATATTCGAGAATTTAATAATTCGAGTAAATTATAAAGAATATTTTCTATAGGCCTTCTAGTTCTACTTATTATTTAGTTAAGGAAAAAATAATAATAAGTATTTCTTTATTATAGATATTATAATTTAGCTTTACTAATTATATAATTTTAAAAAAAAATATTACCGGGTACTAGAGTTTTATCTAGAAGTCTTATTATAAAAGAATACTAGTTATAATTCTATTTAATATATTTATTTTAATTATAATATATTTGTTTTAATTATAATATATTTGTTTTAATTATAATATATTTTTTAATTATAATATATTTGTTTTAATTATAATATATTTGTTTTAATTATAATATAGAAATTCAAATTATAGTAATATAGAATTAGTATTAAGAATATAGCTTACTTTAGTTCAATAAAACCTTTTTAATACTAATTTATTTATTTAAATAAAATTCCCTTATATATTAGAGCTATTAGGGGCTTTATTATATAGTTATATTTCGTAATAAAATACTAATAAAAGTTATAAAAACCCAAAAAGCCTTATATTTCTTTAATTATTTTTAGTAATTACTAGTTTCTAATAATTACTATTTTATTTAGATCTATTTTAATATTTCTAGTAGAAATAATAAAGCCTAAATACTTTATACAAATAACTTTAAACTCTAATTTCTTAATATTTACTTAGAGGCTACTATTTTATAATTACTAAAAAACCTTTTATATATAGTTTTTATATTTCAGGGAATTATCTAAATAAATTAAAATATTATTTATATAAATTATATAAAAAATATTAAGGTAATTAAAGAAAATATTATTTATATATCTCTAATATATAATAAAACTATTAGTTAGGTCTTTCTAAAAAACTTTATATTTATAAGCTCTATATCTTATATAAAATATTATAAGTTTTTCTAATTCTAGATTTATTTGAATTTAATAAAATATTTACTAAATATCTAGCTTTATATAAACCTTAGCTTAAGCTAGGTATATAAGAATCTCGTAAATAAGAAAAAGAAAATAATAATTCTTCTATATTAAGTTATTTAGCTTATAATAATTAATATAGAATTAGAGAACTTTATTAGCTTTTTTTATAAAAAGAATTAGGGATATAAAAAGAAACTAGCTTGGCTTAATAAAGCCCTATTAGAGATTCTTTTTAAGGAAATACTTAATCTCTTATAGCTTATAAGTTAATTATTAATAAAGCAGGAAATACTTTAGGCTTTCTAGGCCTTTAAAATTATTAATCTAAATCTTATAATTATATAATTAATATAAGAATAAGATATTTAATACTTTTTTTAAAAAAACATTTATAAAATTCTTAAACTTCTCTAGTAAGACTTTTACTAGCTATTATAGCTCTATTTCTTCTAGCTATTATTTATTTGAAATAAACTTATTCTCTTATTATAATTCTAGCTTTTTATTAATCTCGAAAAATAATATTATAAAGAAAAGATTTTTCTTTTTTTATAAGTTTATTTAAAAAGTAACTAGTAAAATATCTATAATATTAATTATAAGACTTGACTAGCTCTTATAGCTTTCTTTTAGATAATATGATTTTAATATTTCTATTTCTAGCTTAGGAGAAACTTCTATATTTCCTAAGGCTACTTATATTTCTTTATAGTATTAAGCTTAATTCTTTTACTATATATAGCTTTCTAAACCCGGTTTAGGAAAAAAATAAGAGGATTTTCTTTTTATAAGCTAAAATCTCTAGAACTTATTTATAGCTATAGCTTTATTTCTTTTATTTATATTTTCTTAATACTAGTTACTTTTCTCAGATTTCAAGTTCTTATATATAATAGTTAGGATCTTATTTTAATTCTTTTTTCTAGGCTAATTATTTAATTAGATTAATTTTCTATTCTTATAATTAATTAGAATACTAGTATTTATAAATTACTATTATCCTAAAATTATATTATATTTTTCTAATCCTATAACTAGTATAAATACTAGAATTTTCTATTTATTAATTAAAAATATAAGTTTAATATAATAAATAATAAATATAATTTATTTATTATTAAATTCTTTTATATTATAGAATAATACTAATTAAATAGGTTTAATATCTAGAAATTATTTAATTATTCTTATAAACTTGAAATTAATAAAAATATATTTATTTATTCTAATATTAATAAAAAAAGAAGTCTTAATATCTAATTTATTATTACTAATTATATAAGAAAATATAAATACTTTATTTCCTAGTAACTAGCTCAAATTAACTTCTATTATATTTATATAATATAGTCCTAAAAAGAAGACTTTTTTTAGAAGTCCTCGTTTTCTTGTTTTATATTTTTAGATAACTTATTTATAATAAGTATTACTAGCTTAATTATTAAGACTTGTTTTATATATTTGGTTTTAGGCTTTAAATAGCTTTTAGATATATAACCAAATCTATTATAGTTATAGTACTTAAGATCTAAGGATTTAGGCTTTAGGATAATAGATTTATTTATTACTAAAATTTTAGAAATAGGCTTTATATAAAGAGCGCCTTCTAAACTTGGCTTATTTATATCTTTATTAGCTTTTTTAAATATCTAGTTTTTCTTTTTATAATAAGCTCGAATTTACTAGTTATTTATAATATAATATTATATGAATTCTATAATATAAATAGTTAGGTTATTATAATATATAGCTATAGCCTTTTAAAGCTTCTAGATAAGCTTATTATTAAGGTTATTCTTAAAGTTTTATAAGTTAATATTTCCGTTTATTATATATTTCAGAAATAAAATATAAAATTCCTAAAAAATCTAGCTTTTTTTTATAAATAGCTTCTTAAAAACTTACTAAATATTATATTTCTTATTTAGATTACTATATAGCTTCTCTAGGTAAATATATAGTTCTCTAATAATCTTATATATATATTAATTGTCCTAGTTTAGATAAGAAAAGATTAGTATAAAAATATAGCTAGAAATATAGCTAGAAATATAAATAATCTTAAGGTTCTTTATTTAGTAAATATTAGAATTACTATAAAGCTTATTCTTAATTTAAACTAACTAATTATTAAAGGTAATACTATTCTTAGTTATATCTTTAAAAATAAAAGAATTAAGAAGTTTAACTAAATATCTACTTTCTAAAATAAAAGAACTAGTTATTCTTATAAGTTATATAATAAGCTTCTTAATAATAGCTTTATTCTTTTATAGGGCTTATTTAGTTTCTCTTAGCTAATTATAATAATTCCTACTATAAGTAAGAATATTATATATCTTTAGAATTAGCTTAATAATCTCCTTATATAAAGCCTCTAAGCTTCGGAATAACTCTTAAAAATCTGTCTTTAATAAAATAGGTTCCTTTTTTTCTTTAGCTTTTTAAAAAAGAATATTTCTTTTATTATAAGTATTAATAGGATATTTGAATTCTTTAGAAAACTTAATAAGAAACTCTAGTTTATCTTCTAGTAATATACTAGTAATATCTTATATTATAGCTCTTTCTGACTTGCCTAGTTATTCTAGAATTTACTTTCTTATAAGTCTTTATTTAGTAATAAGATTACTAGCCTATTTACTTACCTAGCTAGTCTAGGGCTTTCTTATCTAGTTATTCTAAGGCTTTCTTTTATTTTAATATTAGTTAACTAATACGGGAGTAGCTATAGTATATTATATTTATACTTATTAAAAACTAATTAGATAAATATTATTTAAATTCTTTATAGGATTAAGAAATAAGAAAGCTTTAAATTATATTATAAATATAAGATCTAGGGTTTAGAAAACATAATTAGATTATTTTTATTCTAATAATTCAAAGCTAAAGAAAGAAGAAGATCTCGAAAAAGCCTCGGATCTAAATAATTACGAGCTATATACGAGCCTATATACTAGCTTAAGTTCGGGGTTATATATAATAATTAGGTAACTATAAATGCCTTACTTAAATACTAGATATCTTTTTTAGATACTAGATATTTCTTTTAGATATTAGATATCTCTCTAGCTCTAGTTTAATTCCTACTAGTATTATATATTATAATAACTATAATAATCTTTAGAATAAAATTATTTTTTAGATTTAGCTTTTTAATAAACTTATAAAATAAATTAATATAAAAATTATAATTAAATAAAATTATTAATTAAATATAAGCTTATAAGATATTATATAAATATAATTTTATAGTATTTATTATTATAATAATAATACTAAAAATAATTCTCTAGCTAATATATTAAATAATAAATAATTATATTAATATTATATATTTTTTACTATTACTATAAATTTAAATAACTAATCTCGATTTCTTAAACTCTTTTTTTATATTCTTATTCTTAATTTTATTAATAAACCGAAAATTAAAAAAATATATTTCTTTTAATATCTAAAATTTAAAAATATTTTTAAATATTTTTTTTTTTAAAAAGCTAATAATTTTAATTTAATAGAAGTTTTTATATAAATTATTATTTTATAGAAATATTATAAAATCCGGGTTTTTATAAAAGTATTTTTTTTTATATTTTAGTAAAATAATAGAAATAATAAAAGAAATTATATTTATATTATTTTTAGTTTTATTATAAAATTCGAAAGTAATTTTAAGTTTAGAATTATTAATAATAACCTTAATATTTCTTATATAAAAGAGCTTTATAAAAATTAAATAGAAAGTAATATTACTATATAATAGAGCTAATATATAATTCATTCTATTAATAGCTACTAGCTTATATAGCCTATTTTAATTATTAAATTAACTAGTATTTTTTTTATATTATATAAAAATATTTGAATTTAAAAGAAATTTATAAATATTAATAATACTAGAACTATTTTAGATATTTAGAATATTTATAATTTAATATTTAGTTTAAAGCTTTTAAATTTCTATTTTTTTTTAAATATTATTAATTATTATAATATAATTAATAATAGAATATTATATCTAATTATTTAAAATAAAATACTATAAATTAAAAAAGTTAAAATAATATTATTAAATCTAATAGAATTATTAATAGCTTTAAAAGCTATTTAGAATATAGTATTTTTATTAATTTTATTAATTTCGGCTATAATAATAAAATAAATATATTAAATTAGGCTATAATAATATTCTATAATTCTAATAGAATTATAAGTTTTTATAAAAACTTTTTTAATTTTAATTTCTATAATATTTTTAAGCTAAATAAACTTTTTATTAATAAATTACTTTTTAATATTTACTATAATCTAATTAAAAAAGCTTAAATAAATATTAATTTAATACTATTTTAGGGTATTTCAAATATATAATATATTAATATTATAATAGCTAGTATTATATAATTAGTTTTAGCTAAAGGAATTAGTTTTAGCTAAAGTTCTAAGCTATAGTTTAAATTAAGCTTAGTATTATTAGTATAGCTATTTCTCTAGGAATTATATATATAGTTACGGGATACGGGATATAAGATATAAGTAATAGGTAATGAGATATAAGTAATAAGATATGGGATATAAGATATAGTTATATAATCTTATATTTTATTAGTAACTCGACTAGTAAACTAGACTTCTTTAGGCTTAGTAAATTTAGGAATTATATATTAATACTATAATACTATAATTCCTACTTCTGAAAAATAACTTTACTAACCTTATATAATTAGTATTTCACGATTATATAATAGTACTATATATTCCTAATAAACTAATATTAATTAGTTTATATTTAGATTAGAATAAGATTTATTAGTACTTATAAATCAAGAATAATTAAGCTATACTTGCCTAAGATTCGGTTATTTAGAAATAAAGCTATTATTCTAGTTAAAAAGAAAATAACTATTAATTCTATTATTTGTAATTTGGTTATATAAGTAGGAAAGATACTTAATTTTACTAAGGCCCAATTATATTATATTAAAGAAAGAAATATC